TGGTATTCTTAGCATTGTTGGTATGAGTTATTGTGGTGTTGTGCAAGCTGTACATGACTACAATCTCATCACAGGCATTGCTGACATTTTAACATCTATAATTTGATAACAACTTGTCATGGTCATACTCATTTAGCAATTTGACAGCCATAATGTATATCAAGTACAGGAAGAATTTATCAAGAACAAAATTTAAAACTTTGTTATAAAACTCCTGCTTAAGAAAAATGTTTGCTATATTTTATAAAACTTTATTCTTTTCAAAAAGTTTTCAGTGCCCTATAAAAGATTAAAAGCTCCACATAATAATCACTGAGAATGAATGTTTTTGTGTATTTATTCTATCCTACCTATGATATCATAAACAGTGAGGGTTACATATGAGATGGGTGCAATGAGTTGATTTCACATAATCTCTATTGATTAGTGTGTCAATCAAATTTAAACCAATGACTGATAAACATTGTGCACAAATAAGACTAGAGATACAAGTTGTCATCACAAATGGCTGCAGATTTTCTTCATTACAGGCTTGACTGGCTTGTCTGAAGAATCCAGATAATAATTCCCATCTTTGTGCCAAGATGTTATTGGCACCAGTCTTCATGTTTCACTTGGCAGTTCATGTTGACAGGAAAATAGGAAATGGTCACCAAACCAGCCAGCCAGCCAGCAATAAAATTGCTACGTGTAAAGTTTACAGTGCATAGGTGCCAAACTGACTGGACTTAATTTGACCTGACCTATGTCCAGTTAAAAGTAGCCATCATCACACAACACTGCTATTATTCACATGATGATGATGCTGCAATATACTAGATACTCAAAATGCAGGGAAAAAGGACTTTGCATATCAATGCTCATTTTTGCATGCTTTATTGATTGCAGTTATATATGTGTCCACTGACTCAATCTACTTCAACATCTGGTGATGTGTACTTAATTGGTCATGTGATTCACAATATGTCAAAACTTTTAATAAAGTCATGTTACTGGATGTGAGAGATGTTTTCTGTTGGTTATTGAATATATTACAATGAGCTCTAGAGTTTATAATTTACATTATTTACATGCAGACTGTTGTCCCCATCTTTGTTGTTATTATCACAATCTTCTATAGGACAACTTGGTGAATTAAAGCATTAGTTTGTTAATTTGGTAATAAAGTAATTATGCGTTCAATCCCTGGACAAGGCAGTGTGTACTTGGACTCAGTGAAAACAGTGCAAGCAGTACTAAAATAAGAACAAGAGGAGATATTCCTAAACATGGGCCACAGAATGAGAACTATTTATGCTCCTAGATTAAATAAAGAGATCAGTTTGAAATTCTCTTTTGGTTACCTTGATTAACAAGTATCTGATGAAGGCTGGAGGGTACAACAATTGAAACATGATAACAAGAAAGATGAGATCAATAGTCCAATAAATAATGATAACACTTCATTCCAGAAATTCAAACAACTCTAGAGTTTGTTTCTATAAACTCATTTACAGTGTTTCAGTAACATAGATTGATTGATGGGTTCATTTTCTATGGCTTAACAATCACTTGCAGGTTATTTAAAGCCAGAAAATACTTTTAGATTGTAAGAACTGTTTTTTTTTTGTTTTTTAAGATAATAATGATTTAGTGATACAAGTCTTACTAATTAACCCATAGCTGGGGGAAGAGGTGGATTCATACTTTTCCCAAGGTTATTTGTGTGTAAGTGAATATAACGAACCCAACTGGGATTGGAACTCAGCTCTCTAAATTCCAATTTCTAGCCATTATCCATTACACCACCTGCACATCCAAGTTTACAGCACATAGTATTCTCAAGTGGTCACCCATCTAGGTACTGACCAAGCTTAACTTTGGTGATCATATGAGTCAATAACATTTTATGAGAGATGTTGTCAAAACAGTAGTAACATTAAAAATTAAATTAAATGCATAATTAAAAAATATTTGTGGTATTATATGAAATTCCAAGGAGGTGATTATTTATTCTAACATAAAATATATATTGGTTGTCTGTTGTAATTGATGACTATGGCTTCATTTCTAAGCAGTACTGCAGATGTAGTGAGTCTAGATGTGGCTGATAAGGCTGATTCAGCCTCTGAATCATCACCCATATTAGACACATTTGGGGTAGTGTCCACTCAGGCATTATGCCCTATGCATTTCATAAACAATGTACCAGAATATGGCTTAAGGGCCAATGAAATGCTAAGATGCTATTTTTATTTCCGACCCTTTTCATTTTTCAAGTTTATATAGATATTGTAGAATCTTTTTTTTTTTCCTATTCTTTCTTATTCTCCAGATAAAGAATGGTTGGTGTGAGTTCTTGAGGTGTTGTGCAAAACTCAAGCAAAAGGAAAGGTTATGATTGTAATCTCTAGGAAGCACAATTGGGTGTGGAGCAAACAATTCCTCTGAACAAAAATAAGAGTCTCTCTTGCCTTTCTGAAATTCTTAAGTAGTATTTTTATTATTCTACACATTTCACATACTGTTATCCTCATCTTTTGTTGTTTTTAATATAATATTCATGTTCATAAATTTTTCAACCTTCCTCACGTATATATGGATTTCAATGGTGTTTTTTGGGGTTTTTTTTACCAATTTACCCCAAGGAGGGTAATAATGCCACTAAGAGGCATGGGGGAAACTGAGTGAAAGAAAAAGAAAAGACTTTAGGAGAAAGAACTGGGAGCCCAATCCTAAGCAGAAAACAAGGGATAAACCTCTAGTCCTGTTCAAAAGACAGTGGAGTAGTGTGAACCTGATGATTGGTGAAGCCTTTAATGTAAAGAAGTAAAACATATACCTGTTGATATTGTAAAATAATTTTCTTTTATAATTTAAATCAGGATAGATTTGCAAAGGCAATTTTGGGGCTTTTCCATTCATTTTCAGGCTGGAAAAATTCTTACTTATTAACTAATAATTAATAAAAAATATACTTATTATTTTGAAAAGGACTACATCTGTTTTAAGCTATTACTCCAAATTTTCATGCAATGGGGTAACTATGAAGCCCAGTGGAAAAATAAACCTCCTTTTAATGTCTTTAAATGCAAATTATAATCTGTAATTAATAATAGAATAGATAATATTGTTAGCTCATCATTTTGTATCATGAACTGCTTTTAAAAGAAACTCAATGGGTTTTTGGGTGGCCTAGTAGGTTTTAAATTCTTAAATCTTGTATTATATCATGAATACAGTTATTATCACTCCACTTTTTCTCTTGATTTGACCAAAAGGGTCTAATAATAATAATAATAATTTTAACGGTAGTAGTAATAATAATAATAATAACTAGACAAATCCCTGTCATATGAACATTTCTCTTAATAATTTAAAAATATTTCAGCAGATGATTTTATTTTACTGATGGTAACTGGATTTTTGGCAGTTGCCTTATTCAGTTTCTGCTGTTCAATACTGTGTGTTTGAAAAATGTTACTTTTATCATATTTTTATCACAGGCAGATAAACTATATTTCATCTTACAGTTTTGTCTCTGTCTCCAAACAGAACAACTGAAAATATTATTGAAAGGTGCCTGATCTTAGGGAACAGTTGCCCATGGCAGTACCTCTCTCATTGCGCTAAAGAAGGAGGATTGGTAATAATACTGGTGTTTGTGCAACTGACGGTTGTGGGGGCTGGGCTTTTTGGGGGCTTGGCCTGGCCTGGGTTCCCATGCTTGGGCTCCCCACATTAAACTGAAATTGTGTCACATCCTGCCAGTGTTGGGCGGCAACAAAATACAATCAGCCTTTTAGCTGAGATCAAAGGGCAGTAGTTCTTATCAGCTTAATTTGATTCTCTCTTTCCATTTCTATCTTCCCTTCTTTCTTTCTTTCATTTTCTCACTGAAACCAAGTAATGTTTCTTCCCTTCTTTTGTACACATCAAAACGGAATAGTCCATTATATATGAGGTATTGGCAGGACGTAATGGTCGTGCAAACTAACGAAGGGCGGGACAAACACAATTATAATAGGATACTACTACTACTACTACTACTACTACATCATAATAATAATAATAATAATATTTAAATTGGGGATTTTAAATATTTTTTATATCATGTTAATCCAATAGTAAATTTAATTTTTATTTTATAGCCCACTTGTATATCTCCCAAATGAATGTGATAGTCCCATTTACCTATAGTTGGTTTGAAAGTTAAAGTGAATAAATGAAATAAAGGAAGATTTAATTTCCTAAATCACTCGGTTTTAAAAATTTACTTAGTATTTTCTTTTCTTTTTTGTCACCTCAACAAGAATAATACAAGATTTAGTTAAAAAGTACAAAGTAACCTCTCAAGACCACTAACATACACCTGTAGAAAGCTGAATAATATATCAGATTAAACATTAATGCCAGTAAAAAAGAAATGAAATCTCTGTGGAATAATAAAGTGTTTTATTTGAAGCTCAGTGCAACAGCTGAACACGATGAACACCTGAATGTTGGAGAGTGCACTGGCAAAAACATTATTATTAAAATGCCAAAAGCGAGGACACTGGTCCAAAGAAATTGATGAATAATGATTATTGTTTTATTTAAAATCCAATTTTATCTTTTTATTAGGTATGTGCAAAAGTTCTAATAAGTAACCTTTTGAAAATCAGAGACTTGAATATAGAGTAGAAAACTATTTTTAATAATAGGAAAATGCTACAGAACTAACAAACTTGATATAAATGTTCTAAATCTGAAAGTAATTTCAACAAGAATTTTATATTCAGAGAATAGAAATACAAGCAAGAGATCTTAATAATATAAATTCTTAGGTGTCATGTCTGTGCCTTTATGTATATGTGTAATGAACTTAAAAAAAAAAACTTGTTCTTTCCTATGTTAAACTTTCTCTTCATTTAATTTCTATTTTTGTGTTTTTCTCTTTGCAGGTAAGTGCTGGTTTCAAGTGAATATAGGTAATGCAAAATGGAAGCATATTTTTGTCATTGCTTTGGTCATTAATCAAAATGCTCCTCATCAACATCTGGTTTGTCTTTTTGTTTTAATTTATAATTTCTTATACAAAGTTTACATTATTTCAGGAAAAACCTCTATCTGTCTGTTCATACCTATCTATCTATCTGATCTTGTTCATATCTATCTATCTGATCTTGTTCATATCTATCTATCTGATCTTGTTCATATCTATCTATCTGATCTTGTTCATATCTATCTATCTATCTGATCCTGTTCATATCTATCTATCTATCTATCTATCTATCTATCTATCTATCTATATCTGTTACTGTTTCTATTTATCTATATCTGTTACTGTTTCTATTTATCTATATCTGTTACTGTTTCTATTTATCTATATCTGTTACTGTTTCTATCTATCTATCTATCACTTTCTATTTACCTGTTACTCTATCTATCTATCTATCTATTTATCTATCTATCTATCTATCTATCTATCTATCTATTACTGTTTCTATCTATCTATCTATCTTTCTATCTGTTACTGTTTCTATCTATCTAGCTATCTATCTATCTATCTATCTTTCTATCTGTTACTGTTTCTATCTATCTAGCTATCTATCTATCTATCTTTCTATCTGTTACTGTTTCTATCTATCTAGCTATCTATCTATCTATCTTTCTATCTGTTACTGTTTCTATCTATCTATCTATCTATCTATCTATCTTTCTATCTGTTACTGTTTCTATCTATCTATCTATCTATCTTTCTATCTGTTACTGTTTCTATCTATCTATCTATCTATCTTTCTATCTGTTACTGTTTCTATCTATCTATCTATCTATCTTTCTATCTGTTACTGTTTCTATCTATCTATCTATCTATCTATCTTTCTATCTGTTACTGTTTCTATCTATCTAGCTATCTATCTATCTTTCTATCTGTTACTGTTTCTATCTATCTAGCTATCTATCTATCTATCTATCTATCTATCTATCTATCTATCTGTTACTGTTTCTATCTATCTAGCTATCTATCTGTTACTGTTTATATCTATTTGATACTGTTCATATGTATCTTTCTATCTATCACATGTTAAAGAAAAAAATGCTGCTGGGAGCCAGGATCATCTATATACTGAAAGAACATGACATTAAAAAATAATTGCCTATTTGAAATCAGTTTTTCCAAATTAAATGTTAATATATTCATCTTATCAAAAGTCCCAATATAATATGCCACATGCCAATAGTTTTTCTATTTTTAGCTTGTATAAGTGTCCATTACTCCTCACTAGGAATTGAATATTTAATGGCTATCAGTTTACAGCTCCTGTTAATCACTTAAATTAAGATTTTCAGTGTCAAAAGAAGAACATCCAGAAGTTTACAAAATGTAGAGTTAAAGAAGTATACCTTATAAATTCATTGGAAACCTTCACAACAATAGAAAGAACACAAATGAATTATAAAAATAAAGAAAATGCTGTTGTCATTTGTGTAAGCTTTTACACAATCAATCTAAAAACATAGCACTACCATTTTGCCTACCTGTTGTGATCTTAAACCAAGAACGAGGAAATTGTTTTTGGTTAGCAGAAAGAATATAAAAAGCAAAAAAAAAAAGAAAAAAAAAGTCTTCTCTTATTTTCTCTCCACAGGAATTTGAAATGATTTATTCTGATCATTCAGCAAAGTTTTTACATAATGTGAGTTTGGGAAATAATAATAAAACATTTTATAAAGAGATTTCTGATTGGAGAATATTAATGTCTTGTCTCTGTGTGTTCATGGTTATAGATATATATGTATGTATCTATCATATATGTACACATAAAAAAAAATCACTAAGTTTAAAAGGTATACTGAATAATGTATGTATATATATATATATATATATATATATATATATATATATATATATTCTAAGCATATATATCTGTTTATTTTACATATCTATAAGTCTACCATTCCTCCATGCTTAGAATGTTGCTGCTACATATGGTTTGTTGCCCCTGCTATTTATCTTGAGCTCTTAGATAAAATTCAAAGAAGAATCAGCAATATTATTGGTTCTGATCTGGCAGCTTGGCTTCAGTCACTTTCGCATTGCCGTCAGGTTGCCTCTCTGTGTCTTTTCTATAAATACTTTCATGGTAATTGTTCAGATGTGCTCTTCACTATGGTTCACTATGGTGCCTAGACTCTTTGAATTTAAGAGCAGTACTACACAATATTAATTGCTATCTACTGTTCTCCTGATTACTCTTTTCTCTTTCCACCACTCATTATTAATTTTTCTGTTATTAATTCTTCCACACACTGTAATCTCTTGTGTCTTAGTGGCCTGGGGTGAAAACTGATTTATTTATATATATATATATATATATATATATATATATATATTCTAACCATTTTAAGTCATTTTGTTTGCCTTTGAACTGTTGATGCTGTATGCAAAGGCTGTGTGTATTAGTCATTGAGCTACAAGCTAGATGCACAAGGCTAAATAAATAAATGGCAGTGTTAATTTTGAAGTCCCTTGCAAAATGCTCTAGAGAAAGAAAAATCAAGTGAGATTTTTGGCATTGATTTTATCTGCTCTGTAGAGGTCTTCTGAATAATTGGGCCAATTTAGGAAATGTCACTCAGCCATCTCCAGCCTCCTTCCTCCTTGCCGGTATGCAATTAGTTTAGAACCCTTTCTAGAGATTAAATAAACTATAGCTATCTTTAGATGTGGTAGGCACAACAAATTAATGCCAGCAATCATAGAAAGATTTATTTCACTCTCCTTTCCTATTAAGCTTCCAGATAAAATAATCTACAGAGACTATGACTACAACCCTCAATCAATGTTTAAGCTTTATAATTGTATGCTCAGAGTAAATTCTGTTTATTTTATAACCACTTATAACAAAAAGCTGGCCCATTTGAGTCATGCCACCTGTGGAACTTAAGAGAGGATTTTCTGATAAAACAGTTTCATTATACATATAATATTATGTAAATAATGCCTACTTTAATTCTTGAACACTGACAATGCCTTTCTTACTGATTTGCAATCCATTTTTATAGCAAAATCATTAGTAATACATTTGTACTATACATAGAATAGCACTATTGTATCAATAAGGTTTACAATAATCTATGACTTCTAACAAACTCTTCCTTGCTGATTTTAATAGTTTTATAGCAAAATCATTACCAAAGGCATTTTTATATATATATATATATATATATATATATATATATATATATATATATATATATATATTTTGGCTGGATTGATGTGAGTTTGTGACCCTGGGTTTCACCTTTTGATCATCAGACAAACTGATTAATTTTTTAAAATTTTGGGTTTGTATGAGTCCCGACGGACGACCAAGTGTGTATGTGTGTCTGCGTACTTCATTGGGCGTATGAACATACATCGATGTTTGCGTTAGCACGATGACATCATGACGACATTTCCTCCCCCCCACTTCCATAATAACACCAATACACGCAATCTACATAAACCCAAAATTTAAAAAAAATTTTTAAAATTAATCAGTTTGTC